AGCTATTCACATGGAAAGTAGGAAAATCCGCCTCAAATTAGGAAAATCCACTATTTGGAATAAGATGAAATAAAAATAGAAATTAACAAAAACTGAAATAATTTTAACGTGCAACCAAATAATTCAAAACATTCAGCGCGGAGTTTAAAACCCTCGTGAGACATTTTTTAAACTAACTTTGGATTTAAAAGAAATCAAGATAATGTAACCAATCAAAACAACGCAAACAAAGCATCCAGAAAGCGGCAGGGAACAACCAGACCTATATTTGGAAGACCTTCAAATGATTGGCGGAGAACCAGAAGTCTTTATTAGCCCGGGGATGCAGGAAATCAAATTTCGGCAACAACATTAGCATCAGCCAACAACTAGCATCAGCAAGAAGAAACCTTTAACCAAATCATCACAACCTACAGTCATCGTCTTAGCCGACAAATCTATAAAACAGTCACAATCTACATCAGCATAGGCGACTTTAATAAATACCAGGGTCTAGGTTTCAAGTTTAAGAACAACCTCAACTCGCTTTTTTTCTTTAATATGTCTTACAACTTACTATAATAGGTGAAAGATCAAAAATTTTGTATCAAATTGGACAGCAGCTTTGAAGTGATTATCGAAATGATCAATTTTTTTAAGGCACGCTCATCAAACAATGTAATTTTGAAGCACTTAAAATTATTCCATACCACCAATTGATACGCAAAATTTTTTTCTAGGGAACCCCAACAAGTCATGAAACTAAAAATGATTTCAAGTTTTTTATCATGAATCCATTTGCAGTGTTTATATTTTTCTTTGCAAGCTCATCAATCAATAGAAAATTAAACAAAAAAAAAATGTGACAAAATGTGACAAGCTTGCCAAATAATGAATTATGGAAACCCACCATTGCCAACTTCAAACCCTCAATAAGCTAAAAAAAAGGTTGTACTGTAGGCAACACCAAAAAATTACAAGAAAACAATTTCGTTAGCGTTAGAATAATTTCACTAAAAGATACTTTCTATTCTTATTGTTGAAAGATCGAAAAAATTCGCTCATATTTTTCCCAGAAAAAGCAGCTTCTTTTCGTCCTGGAAAATACAAGGTTTTGCTGATTTTTTAGTCTGTTGTAACACCCAATCAAAAAAATCACCCTCTTTTCAGCATCGTATATTTCAGAAATTTTTTGAGTCTAATGTTAAGTTTTGGCTAATATTTGAAAAAATTGTAGTCGAATATAAATTAATTATCACTATCTGATAATTGTTTGAGGATTATCAATTTACTTTGACCTGCAGAGAAAAAACAATAACTAAAAATGAAAAAAATGTCAAAATGTCAAAGAGTTTTCTTACTTTTGTGTTCGAAGTTTTGTTTGCTACTCGTACAGCAGCTGGCTACTCTTGCTTCGGCTTGCCAGTATTTTAAAACATCGTTCTGGATTTTGGAGACAATGGTGAAACGCTTTTTTAGTTATTATTTTTTTGGAAATTAGTGCAGAGACAAAATGTTAAGGAAATCCAATTAAATTCAACAATTTCTCGGACAGAAATCACGTATAAAGACAAAAACAGATTTTAAAAGCACCAAAGGAATCAATAATAAATGTACCTACATGTTTATTTCTGAAATATAGTAAATTAAAGGTAACGTTATGCTTTGTATTATATGCAAAAAATTTCTGATGGGATGCTATAAAAAACTTCATAGCAAGGGCAGGTTCGAAATATTCCTAAGCAAACTCATCAATCGATAAAACTTTGAAAATTTTTGAAATGGTGGATATCATGTAGTGATTATCGAAAAAATGGAAACTTCCTAAGCACGCTCATCAAGCAATAAAGCTTTGAAACATTTAACATAATTTCATACCACCAAATGTTTTACAAAAACAACTTGAGTCTGATGTTTTATAAAAGTCATAAAATTTTAAATGATTTCAAGTTTTCTTGCCATGGATCCATTAGTAATGGTTAAGTTTTTCTCAGCAAGCACATCAAGCAATAGAACAATAAACTCTGACAAAAATTGGGGTTAGCTTACCACATGATGAAATTAAAAAAACACTAAAAAAATTTTACAGCTGGCATTGTCTTGCAAAAATATAAAATTGCAAAGCAAGTTCAATAAGCTTCATAGCAGTTGAATTAACAGTTGAAGGCAGTTTCATACCCAAAATTGCCAGCTTCATGGCCCCATCTAGCTCAAAAAAGGTTGTAGTTTAGGTAAAAATATATTTTTAGGAATATATTATCTCGAAAAAAATCTAATATTTTTGTTCCATGAATCCGTGTGCCAAAAGAAACAGCTGTTGAAGCCAGCTCATCGATCGACTTAGTTTTGAGTTACTTCCTGTTCTTTTTTGATGTTTCAAGTTTGAAATATAAGTTATTACATAGCGCGATCAATTAAAATTATCTAAAAACTTTTAGGCGAACTTGTCAAGAGATGCAACTTCAAACTATCTCAACTTAATCAAAGCATAAACTTATTAAATTTAGGTTTTTGAAATGCATAAAGCTATAATATTTTGAGAAATTTCAAGTTATTTTGTAATGACAATCCGGGAGATGGAAATTTGAATAGTTTTAAGTAATTTCGTAGCAAGAATTGGTATGCAAAATTTAAAACTTTTAAGGTAAAATTTTGTTTTTTCAATTGATTTTTCAGCATAAATTATTTCAAAAAACTGAAGTTTCTACAGCAATCTCATCAAGCAATTAAACTTTAAAACAAATCAATTAAATTTTTAGCATGAATTAATTCACAAAAAAAAATTAAATTTTTCATGCAAACTTATCAAGCGATGCAAAATTTAAGTCGTTGAAGCAATTTCACAACGCAAGCTCCGTTGCAAAAAAACTCTTTGTTTATAAAGCAAGCTTGTCGGGAAATGCATTTCAACTAACTTCATATCACTGGCCAATTTGCTTTAATTAAATGTTTTAGGCATTCTAATTAAGCAATAAAACACATTATGGTTAAAACATTTTCATAACATGAATAAATTGGCAAAATTAAATTTTTCTAAGCAAAACCAAGTAGCAAAGAAACTTGGAAAGATTTCGATATTATTCTAAGCCCCAACTAAAATTACAGGTTTCCTAAACAAGATTTTCAAGTGATGAACTATTAAAGTAAGTCATGTAACTTCATTACGAAACACTTTTAAAAAATTAGAAAATTAAATCGTTTTTGTTTTTCTCTGTAAAAGCTCATTGTGAATCTTTGAAAATTTTAAAGAAGTTTCAAAGCGCAATTCAGTTTGCTTATAAACAGATTTTTGAAGCAACCTCAAAAAGCTGCAAAATTTCCTTTGGTTTTAAAAAGTTTCATTATATGATTCCTTTTGCTAAAATTAATTTTTTGCAGTCAGTCCATCAAACCACTATGACGTTTTGAAACATTTCAAGTTATTTCATTATAGCACAAAGTGGTTCTCAAATTTCGAAGTTTTGCCATTTGTCTTAGAGCGTGAATAAATTTGGGAAGTTTTTCAAGCAATGTCAATTGGCAATGAAACCTTCGAAGTAATCAGATAGCGAAAACTGGTTTATATATTTTTTTGAAAATGAAGTGGTGAAATTTTGAATCGCTTCAAGTTAACTCATAGCATGAATCAGTTGACATAAAACTACGACAGTATTGGCACATTCAGGTCAATTTTGGTTCAGATTTAACAGAAAGGGCCTATTATTGGGCAATTTTTCTTTAAAAAAAGTAATTTAAAAACATCTCAAAACTAGCGCAGTTTTGGTATTTTTTACGACAAAAGATCTGAAATTGACCAACATTGTTCGAAAAATTCACTATAATTGACGGAAAATGGCCATGACTTGGACGGTAAAGGTATGTTGAAAGTAAAACTATCTCATGCAATCTTCAAAACATCAATTTGGGCAGAAAGAAAAAAACTAATTGTAACGCCTATATGATTTTTTGTCAATGCTAAAAAGCTAGTTTAACACAACCTCCAATTTTTTTATCTTTCTTGAAACATAACAAAAAATGTAGCAGACAAATTGACTTAATTTTCCAGATTTGATGTTCAAATAAGAGACGAATTTTTCAGCTGTTCAGAAATTTTCAAAACTTTAATCACAAAAAGAGTCAAAATACGCAAAACTTTGCTATTTGAGTTTATTGCTAAAAAATAACAATAAGATTTAGCAGGAAAATGCGTACAAGGTTGATTTTAATTGTGACGTTAGCTAATTTAGTGACAGCCTTCAAAATTGATCAGCGAAGCGAAGTAGAAGAATGCCCGAGTTCTTTTTCAAAAATAGAAGGCGTTCCAGGAAAGTGCTTCCACCGCAGTAGCAATGGATTCCAACAAATGATGCGGGCACGAAAGTATTGCGAAGACAAGTATGTGTATGTTATTTTTTCAGTTTTCTGGGGTACACGCCTCTTCCTCTCAGGGACTTGGTCCCTTTACTTTCTAAATGGTCCCCCCATTAGGCAGTTTTTCAAGACATCCAAATGTTTCTTTTAAAAGGCGCCTTTGGCGCAATATATACTGTTTTTGAGGAGAAACGATACCCAAAAAAGGGTTTTTTTATGAAAGCTTGCGGCGTTAAAAATTTGGTCCAATGGGGTCTTTATCGTGATTTGGAAGAGCTCAGAAAATCAAATTGGAATCAAAACCTAAAAAAGAAGACAAAACTTTCAAAAAAAATGGTTTAATATCGGCAAGGGATTCAATTTTCAATCAATAACTTCCAATATATTTTGAAAACAGTTTACACCATATCTATCTGCTTTTTCTTAATTTTTGTCTTTTTGATTTTTTGTCTTAATTTTCATTTTTTTAAGAACAAGATTTTAAGGCTCGCCCTGCTCTATAAAAACGGCAAAACAAAACGAACTTTTTTTTGTTGACAGTTTTATTGCTTTAATTTCTATTATCGGAAGATTTTGTGGTACGATTATAACATCCTACTACTGTTATTTACTTAAAGAATTGGCTTGTTAGTGAGTATCTCTATACAAATGTTTTGAGTGGACTGGCTATAATGGAAAGAGCCAATTTGTCTTTGTCAAAAAGCAAGTTAAAATCTACTTACCAGCATGCAAATTTCTCATTTGGCTTTCTTTTTGGTTGCAGATCTTCGAAGTTGGTTGAGCCCAAAACGAAAGACGAACTTGATGAAATAGACAACTTCTTTAAGTCACAATTGGGTCGTAAAAACTACTGGGTGGGATACGCTAAGATTCAGATGACTATTTTCGAAGAATGTGATACTCCTCTAAACGACGCTGAGTTCCGAAGTATCAGTGATTTTTCGCCGATTCCCGAGGGTATGTGGAAACGATCCGAACCCAACAATCATCGCTCACAAGGTGAATGGTGCGTTGAATCGGAGGTCGGTAAGGGTCTGAATGATGAAAATTGTGACAATGATAATTCAAATGATGTCGTAAATGTTGCACTGTGTGAATACAATTTGCCATCTGCAGCCGGCGGTTCTAAAAAAGACAAGAATGATGGACCTAGTGAAAGTGACGAATCTGATGAAGATGACGATGCCACTGGCGCTTCCAGTGAACACGACGATGCGAAAAAAGATGGCGACTCCGAAGAAGACGAAGACGATAATTCCGAGGAAGATGACGAATCAAATGAAGACGATGGTCACAACGGAGATGACGAATCTGGCGAGGACGATGAATCCAATGAAGACGATGAAAACGACGATGACGACAGTGAAGTTGGAGAAGATGACTCCAAAGATGAAGATTCAGATCATTCGAATACCAAGAAGACGCCATGCTGATCAGCTGTACCGGATGAGATCTTCATTTATTTCGTTCAGAGAATATTTAAGTTTTAAAGCTATGGAGCAAAATGGTTGGAAGAATAAAATTATTATAAATTTTATGCTTATGTTTTTTCGCAATAATCTGATTTGAAAATACGCTATTATTCACTAATAATAAATCAGTGAAAGTGCTTTAAGAAAAATTTGATATCCGGAAAAAATTTACAGGTAAATATGTCAGCTTTTTAAAATTATTTTCTATGAACAGTCCCGCGGCTTTCAGATGTTTCATATATGGAACTTGTATGACTAGCATTTTTCCATCAGCTCAGAAACTTTTTTTTCTAATTTAGTTTTTTTTTCAAAATTTCCGAGTTTTGTTCGTAACCTAACACAGTGACAAAAACGTTCGTTTACTCATAACTAGCTTCTTCAAGGGTTTGGCCGTCTGCAATTCCAATGCATTGGAAAGGACCTGAACTTTCTTAAATTTGTCTTACACGTATGACATGATGACAGTATCAAACTTTTAAAATTCGGCAACATTTCAAAAACCGTTTCTGAAAACAAACTTTTTAATTCATCAGCATTGATCAAAGCGTACATAAACATGTCATAAAAAAGGGTTTTCAACGTTTTATAAAAAAAATCATTCAGAGAAACGGAAAAACTCTTGGTTTTACGTATCCAGGAGTACGTAATGCGCACAAATTTTTTGAAAATGTTCGCTTGAGTACAAATTTTTTTTGCAATTGAAAAAAAAAAATTGGGTGGGCTTTGTCGAAACTACAGGTTTTTTTGAAAATTCGTTGACACCATTTTAGCAAAAAATATGAAATTTGTATGATTAGTTTTTTTCCATAGACTTAGTTTTGGGCTTGTAAGATCAGCATTTTGGGTCTATGGAGGTCAAATTAGGGTGAGAAGATTCTGAATGAGCTTTGGCAAATCAAATTAACCTCTTTAACCCATTCTGTCCAACGATTTTGCCTCTGATGTATGAAAACTAACCCATTCATCAGTTTTTTTAAACAAAATTCCGGGTTTTGAAGATTGATAGTTTGATAAAATAGCGATAAAACACAACGAAATAATTTCGTTTGGTTTTTTTATTTCAGTCAATTTTCAACCTATAAACTGATCGTTTTGACCGCATTTTTGTCAATCTTTGGCCATTTGAAAGCAATTTAGGCTATTTGAAAGCGATTGTTGTCCGGATATCAAATCTAAAAAAAAAAGATTTGAAAACTTAAAATATGGCAAATTTGGGATAATTTTATGCTTACGATATCTGATTGGTATATCGAAACTTTTTCTCGGTGCTACACGAATATATTAACTTACTTTTTTTATATAAGATTGGGTAACAAAAATGAAGACTTCGAAGAAACGTGAGATAGTCCAAGAAAGTTTTCAAAAGTCAACTAAGATTTTTACGACAGAAAAAACAAGACTTTATTGCCTAAAACATCAATGAGATGGATTATCTTAAGGTGGTGAATTCTATCAAAATTGCAACAAAATTGATCTTAGGTATCTTTTTTGTCAAAACAAGAGCAACATTTTTTCACTGAAAAAACTGCTTCAGATAGCCAGAGCCACTCGAGATAGTTTTCTGTCTTTTAAAATATTTGCAAATCTAAGGTTTCCCTTGAGATGAAAAGAAAATTGTGCGAAGTTTGTTAAAGAATTATTTTATTATCAATGTTCTAGGCGCAATTTTGTCATGCAAATGAACAATTTTGTCATGCAATTTTGTCATGAAATCATTTTTGAACAAATTGCTACAATATCTGAATGAAAATGATTTCAAACCCGGGTCGAGATCCCGCTCAAAAACCGCTCAACATATGAGCGGTTTGAGCGTTTTTCCAGCAAGATTCGAGCGGTTTGAGTGGTCTGGGCGGTTTTTTTGGAAAAACCGCTCAAACCGCTCAAATCTAGCTTAAAAAACCGCTCAAAAACCACTCATTTCTTGCGGTGGTTTTTGAACGGTTTTTGAGCGGTTTTTATAAAGAAAACAGATTGAAACGATCAAAAGGCCTGGAGAGATTATGTGACGCTAAGATGCAGTTGAAGTACTATCTACAATTTAAAAAAAGTGCTTAACCGTTTTCATCTCAAACAAGATATTTTTCGATGTCTAGACCACAAACAATGTGAGCGAGCTTTTTCAAATGCTCGAGCAAAACAACCACTAGAAAATATGTATGTATGTGTATGTATGTATGTATATATGTATGTATGTATGTATGTATGTATGTATGCATGTATGTATGTATGTATGTTTGTATCTATGTGTTTCTGTATATATGTGTGTATAGATATATGTATGTATCTTTGTATTTGCAAAAGCCAATGAACGAAATGAAGACACTGATTTAGGGCGGTTGGTTTTTTAAACAGGATTTGAGCAGTTTGAGCGGTTTTTTTAGACGATTGCGCTCAAATTCTTAATTCATTTGAGCGGTTGTTCAGCGGTTTACTAGAAAAACCGCTCAAATCTTGCGCGGTTTTTCAGCGGTTTTTTTTTGAGATAAACCGCTCAAAACTGTTCAAATCTTCCGCTGTTTTTGAGCGTTTCTTTTAGATAAACCGTTCAAAAACCGCTCAAACCGCTCATTTTGAAGCAAGATTTTGAGCGCAATCGTCTAAAAAAACCGCTCAAACCGCTCAAATCTTGCTTCAAATTAGGTGAAAAATCTCGACTCGGGAACCATTTCTTATCAGCACGAGTGAGTTGTTTTGATCCTTGTTTCAAACCGTAATTTTCAACAAATTTATTATCTTATACAAACAGTTTTTTTAATCAATTGTTGTTCGAAAATTGTTTGATAATGACTGTTTATTCCGTTTAACTGCCCAATCGCCCCAGAGAAATGTCTTGTCGGAGAAATTGCACATTGAAACTCGAATCTTCCATCTTCCTTTATGTGTCCACGTGTGCACTTTGTTCAACCCCAGCCACATCTCTCCTGCTCCGGAAATGTATCCAAAACCTGCTTCATACTTCTCAAACATGCGGTTGAATAAAATGTCGAATTGTTCCCGCCTCTGTAAAACTGTCTCCTGTGCCAACTGAAATGCGGATCAACTTAATAATTACCCTCACTTTCAAGAAAGGGAGTAATTGTTATGTATATTATTGTTCCGACTTTCGTAACGAAAGTAACGGAAAATTTGTGCTCGGGGTGGGTTTTTTTTCTTCAGATAAGTTTCGACTTTTCAACTAGCCATTTTTGACGAGATTTTCTATATCATTGAAAAAGTATTGTTGTCTTGAGCTTAAATTTGAAAAAATATTTTACCTGTGATTATTTTTCGTTAAGTTATGGGGGTTTAAAGATTGCAATTTTCGCCAATTTGGGACAATTGACGCGCGATATATTTCGCGCTATTAACGCAAAAGCAGAGTTTTAATCCGTCTTAGAAATCGTTCCAAATTGTTTCGAGGAAGCTTATTTGTCATAACTGATTTGTTACTAGGAGCGAAATCGGGTCTTATGCACTAAACGGCCCAAACTCATTATTTCCACATCTCTTGAACTTGAATTATTGTGGATGAATTTGATTGGCTAATTACCCAATCAAGTTCCATCGACATTTTCTGGCATTTCAATCGAAAATTCAAGCAGATAAAATTATTAGCCGAAATGATAAAGCGAAAAGAATTTTGTATTGTCAAGTCATTTTACTGAATTTTGCTTGTCTGGGCAAGGTTTCACAAGTGACTCAAAATAAACAAGATAATTTGACTCAAAGTTCCACTTTTTTGGGAATTTCGGCTAATATTATTGTCTGCTAGAAAGGTTGATCGGAATGCCTGACTGTGTAACTTGAATTAGATTGGCTAAAATTACCCAATCAAATTTGATCGCATAATTTCCAACTTACGAGGTAGAAAAATTTGATTTTGCGCCGTTTAGTGCATAAGACCCGCGAAATCTATCACTTTGTACTTACTATGGCGTGTGGGGGATGAATTTCACAAAAAATCTCAAATTTGAACAAACAAATTTCCTTTTTGTTTATTACATTTCATTTTTTCAAGTTATTACTGCTCCATAGACTTTAAGAGGCAGTGAGAAACTTCAAGGTCTCGCCTTGATACGAGCAGTCTTGTTATGTTTTGTTTTGAGATTTGCTTGGAACGAATTGCTTCAAAGTTTTCCATTAGGACGTGCAACTGTATCAAACGAGTAGAAGAAATTGATCATCTTCAATACCATTTAACTCGAGAAAAAATTGCACAGCCCTAAGACAAAAAGCAAACAACAAAATCTGTCTGAAACTACAATGTGGTTTTTGAAAGACGAATGCAATGATATCTTTCTGTTTAAACAATTTATAGAAAAGTATAAAATCAAAAGTATCCAGACTTACTGTTAAAAAAAGGTATTTTTCCGCCAGCTTCTTGAAAAATTGATAAAAAACCAGAAAAACACAGACCAAAATGAATAATTGGAGTGATATCAAAAACGCTTGCAAAGATCTTCAAAAGTCAAAGAATGACCATCTAATATGTAACAACTCTATCTAAGCAACAATGAGTTCTGTTTCAATTTTTTATCGAAATTATCTTGCACCCCTGTTACTATATCTAGAAAAAAAAATTAAATACCTTGATCTTGGTTTCTCACATCAGAATATATAGAAGTTAGTTTTTCCGAAAACTCAAATGCAATGATAGTTTCATTCGTATGTAGTAGTTTGCGAAAAAAACAATTGTGAATAATTATGACTAAGACTGGACATCAAAACACCAAGGAGTACATCGGGTAGGGTGTTGGAACCCCGTAATTTTAATCTGCGCATGAACAATTTTAATTAACAAAACTCACAACGCTTGAAAAGATGCGATCGAAAATCGAGACCACAGAGAGTGAATTTTGACGAAAGCAAATTGAAAAAAAATATATATATCAGAGTTTAATTTAACCTATGCTCCTAAATATATTAATGGAAAATTTGAACTCAAAATATACGTCCAAAAACACTCAATTTTGTTTGATTAC